AACTTCAAGTGCACTATTACCTATTTCGAAGCACTGCTCCTTTCCGAGGTTGTTGTACATTACTTTCGTTTTCTGCAGATTAATTTTAAGACCCACCTTTCTGCTCTCCTTGTCTAACTCCGTAATCATGAGTTGCAATTCGTCCCCTGAGTTACTCAGCAATGCAATGTCATCGGCGAAGCGCAAGTTACTAAGGTATTCTCCATTAACTCTTATCCCTAACTGTTCCCACTCTAGGCTTCTGAAAACCTCCTGTAAGCACGCGGTAAATAGCATTGGGGAGATTGTGTCCCTCTGCCTTACACCCTTCTTGATTGGTATTCTGTTGCTTTCTTCATGAAGCACTAAGGTAGCAGTTGATCCCCTGTAGATTTCTTCCAGAATGTTTATATATACTTCATCTACGCCCTGATTCCGCAGTGTCTGCATGACGGCTGGTATTTCTACTGAATCAAACGCCTCCTCATAATCTATGAAGGCTATGCTTAGTGGTTGGTTATACTCTGAGCATTTCTCTATTACCTGATTGATAGTATGAATGTGGTCAATTGTTGAGTAGCCTGTTCTAAATCCTGCTTGTTCCTTTGGTTGATTGAATTCAAATGTTTTCTTCATTCTGTTAGCAATTACCTTTGTAAATAGCTGGTATACTACAGAGAGCAAGCTGATCGGCCTGTGATTCTTCAAGTCCTTGTCATCTCCTTTCTTTATGTATTAAGATGATTTTAGCGTTCTTCCAAGACTCTGGTAACCTTTCCGTCAGGAGACACCTCGTAAACAGGGTGGCTAGTTTTTCTAACACAATCTGTCTTCCATCTTTCAGCAGGTCTGATGTTACCTGATCCTCACCAGCTGCTTTGCCTCTTTGCATGCTCTCCAAAGCTTTTCTGACTTCTTCTATCATCACTGATTGAGTGTCATCTGGGGGACTGCTAGTTCTTATAGTATTAAGGTCGTGGTTGTCTCGGCTACTGTACAGATCTCTGTAAAACTCCTCTGCTATTTTAACTATCCTATCCATATTGGTAGTTATTTTGCCTTCTTTGTCCCTTACTGCATACATCCGACTTTTGCCTATCCCTAGTTTTCTCTTCACTGCTTTGACGATTCCTGGGTGTGCAGTAATTATAAAGTCTATTTCGTTCTTGTTTTCGCCATTAGGGCTCCTCCATGTCCACTTGCGGTTTTCTCGTTTTCGGTAGAAGGTATTTAAAATCCGCAAATTATTGCGTTCTGCGAATTCTACTAGTACCTCTCCTCTGGCGTTTCTAGTGCCGCTGCCATTATCTCCTACTGCCTGGTCTCCAGCCTGCTTCTTCCCTACCTTTGCATTAAAGTCGCCCATCACAATAGTATACTGTGTTTTCACCTTACTCATTGCCGATTCCACGTCTTCATAGAAGCTTTGAACTGAAGCGTCATCATGGCTGGATGTAGGCGCGTAAGCCTGTACCACCATCATCTTGTATCTTTTATTCAGTTTAACTACAATACCTACCACCCTTTCATTAATGCTATAGTATTCCTCAATGTTGCCAGCTATGTTTCTGTGAATTAGGAACCGCACTCCCAGTTCTCTTCTGTCTGCCAAGCCCCGATAGCAAAGGACGTGCCCATTCTGTAGAATAGAAATAGGCCTAATCTGTCCTCTTAACCTCACTGAGCACTATTATATCCCACTTAACACCCTCTAGGTCTTCGAATAGTACAGCTAGACTTCCCTCACTACATAAAGTCCTAGCGTTAAATGTTGCCAAGTTCAGGTTCCAATGGCGGCCTGTCCGGATCCAGAGATTCTTAGCACCCTCTGCTGCATTGCAGATCTGACCGCCGCCGTGGTCAGTTGCTTCGCAGCTGCTGGAGACTGAGAGCCGTGAGTTATTTGGCGTATGCATGCGGGAGGTAGTGGCCAGATACTGCACCAGGGTGGCCAATCCTTCTCTGGTGAGGGAGTGCGTTCCCGGCGGTGGTTGCCGGTGAGGCTGCACCCCAGGCATCTTAATGCAGTTCCATCAACACGCGGTTTTTTTTTAAATCCGATTGGGAACTGCGCGGCGCCGGGATTTGAGCCAGGGACCTCTTGCATGCGAGGCGGATGCTCTAACCACTACGCCATCGCCGCACCAATGGAATGTATATAATGTATTAGAACCAATGAAATGTAAATAAGATTCTAACTTCACATATAAACCCAAAATAGTGGATGGAGGGGAGCAGTGGTTAGAGCATCGAACGCGTTATTCGAAGGTCGTAGGTTCGATTCCTGCACACGGCTGGTTATTTTTTTATCCACTTTTCTTTCTTCTCATTTACATTCCATTGGTTCTAATAACTTTCCCATGTACATTCCTTGACATTACTGTCTGTTAGATCTCAATAATATTGTGTCAAAAAGACGGAAAATCGAGCCCTTATAGGTATACACTTCTTTCCCTCATTTCATTTAACGAGGGTCTCGTACTGGCAGACTTGGTGTCATTAGGTTGTATACGAGGGACTATTAATCAGCTGGCCGCTCGTAATATGTTCACGTGCTACGTGACGCCAAACATGCACATAAAAGAGTGGTGCACACTCGTCACTTGGCTTATAATGGCGCTGACTGTCACTCCTACTTCTAAATTCACATATAAACCCAAAAAAGTGGATGGAGGGAAGGCCGCTGTGGTAGCTCAGTGGCTAGAGCATCGAACGCGTTATTCAAAGGTCGTAGGTTCGAATCGTGCACACGGCTGGTTATTTTTTCATCCATTTTTCTTTCTTCTTATTTACATTCTATTGGTTCTAATAACTTCCCATGTACATTCCTTGACATTACTGTCTAATAATTTTCATAATTATTGTGTCAAAAACACGGAAAAACGAGCCCTTAGGTATACGATTCTTTCCCTTATTTTATATATATATATATATATATATATATATATATATATATTTATATATATATATATATATATATATCTATATATATATATATATATATATATATATATATATATATATATATATATATATATATATATATATATATATATATATATATATATATATATATATATATATATATATATATATATATATATTCTGCTAAAATCCTTCATGGCCACATCCTTATTCAAGAACAGTAAAAGCATTTGTTGAGTAACAAGTTGGGTAACAAGGACGACACACACACGATACACTTTTACTGTCCTTAAAGCCCTACTACCAACGTGTCGAAATTGCCACCTTAATAAAACTGCACTTTCTAGAGTGACAAGAAAGGTCTGACTTATCGCACAGTAAAAACGGGCCTCTACCAATCCACCCCCAGCAAAATGTAACCGCTGATACCGGTACCGAACCCGTGACCTTCAATTTGGAAGCTAGGCGCCATAACCGGTGATCCACCACGGTGGACGTTGCTGCCACCCAGATGAGATCCAAGGTGAGAGAGACCGTCACGCGCTGGCGTAGGTTTCAGGTTAACTCCTTAAGGCGCATGCTTGCTCATCGTGGTAGCCAACCCTAGTACTCGAAGTGCAGGCAGGCAGGCAGGCAGGCAGGCAGGCAGGCAGGCAGGCAGGCAGGCAGGCAGGCAGGCAGGCAGGCAGGCAAACAGGCAGGCAGGCAGGCAGACGAACGGCCGTTCTCGATGATGTACTGAGCAAGAACCAAAGGTTCATGGTTATACTTATCAACCTACGGAGCTTCACACACTCATAATTGCTCACTTCGTGATTATGCTGTCATTTTTTCTTCATCAAAGTTTAAGATGTGATCTCTCTAATAACCGCTAGGATTTCCTTGTGCTATTGAGCCCCAAGCCCGTGGTAATCAGTCATTCCAAATTTCGGCAATTTCAACAGTGTGTCTTGTTGGTGATCCATTAGAACAATTTTGACTTTCGCGATCAACCAGCCTTTGTGAACGACTTGAACCAGAAGGTCCTTTTCGTGCGTATCGTTTGTTATCTTGCGTATGCGTGTTGGTGTTTTTTTTTTGTTGTTGTTCTACGCCGTCATTCTTGCTCCCTTTTTCCCCACCCCAGAGCTGGGTAAAAAACCGGGTGATGATATCTGGTTAACCTGCCAGTCTTTCTCTACATCTGTCGCTCTCTGTCTCTGTTAGTACAATTCTTTACTGTCGTCATTCTCTTGTAATTTTAAAATTGAGACAGGCAACCATAAAAAAGGAATCATAATTTTCAAATTGAGAATTTATGCATTGTGTCTGCTTCTAAATATATTCACGCTGACCTTATTTTAGGCCTGGTAGTCTACAGGAGCATTCATCCTTCCGTAGAATTCATGACAATTTTCAAACAGCTCACAGTTGCATTCATGACCTGTTTTCTTCAGCTTTCATTTTTTGTAATAGCAAATATAAATTAACAATAATCGCAGGCATATAGTTTTCTACGGCACTTAAGAACGAATTCATTTACACTTTTAAGACTAGGACTGAAACTTTTTCAAGATCTTATAACTTCCAGCGCGGTATATTTTTGGTATAGTGAGAACACGTAGTTAAACAAAAATCTTAAAAGCTTTAAAAAAAAAAACAACCGCGCCACCATGAGGCACTATTTTCCTAACAAGAAGCGGTTTTGTCGATTTACCATGCCTTTGTTTTCTGGGGTGTCCTGCGTGACCTACCGAGGATACTCTATTTTGGCAAATTACATGAAACATTGACTGGCAGTGTTTGTGTATGCAGTCAAACAGGAGCCGCCATACCTATATTCTTTAGTGTGCCCGTGGAATACACGAGTGGCTTTGCGTATAATTCTCTCCCTTAAAACAAACGCAGTTTTGCATTCACTCGGAAGTAAATCAATATACAACATGGCATATAGTTAACGTGTTCGGGTGGCACCAAATGGTTTCACTCTTCGACGGTGTCATGAGTTTGAGTTGAAGTTATCTGTTTTGCAACTATGTTCGGCGTAATAATTCGATTACACGTTGCCGTATTAAAGAATCTTCGCAAGCCATGCTCAGTTATTCTTTCTTTTACAGAGTCGGTACCTGGCAGTGCCTGAGAGATTGAGAGAGGTTAAGGCGTTGATTGGATCCCCGCACTACCTTCTCACTATCTGCGCCTGCATGTTTCACCTGGCTGAAATGAACGTCGTACTGGTGCTTTGCAAAGGAGTCCTTCTTGGTAAGTCGTAGCGATGCTGAATTTTGTTCGAAGGGGTGGAATGTCACGCTTTCTAATCATAGGTTTGATGATCTCTGCTATTGTAATAACATTTTCTGGGATTAGGCACACAGAAACAACAATACGATCGTGAGGTACACCGTATGCCTAAAGCCCGAAAGCTGAAGTACGCTGAACGGGCTGCATATAAAATACAAAAAAATGAAAGCAAAAAGACGATGAGTGTATCATAACAGCTGCATATCGAGATTTGTTTATTCATAGCGTACACCACACCTTCAATTACTATTGGGCCAACAAACGCAAAGACAAGGTTATTCAGAGTAAAAAAAAAATGTTCACTTTTTTTTTCTACGCGAATGCATGAAGTGACGCTAGTTTCAACAGCGTTGCACCTGATGTGTGAAACGCAGTGTAAACGCACTGCGGCACGTCGTTCATCGCTTCCTGAATTTCAGTGAAGTGGTTGAGGTTAGATCAATTTACCAAATTTTCTTGGCCCACACCCGTTTATGATTCATTGCGCTAGCGGTTGGCTTTCTCATTTTTAATAGGCCACTGATGGGTTGCTGGAATAAGAAAATTTTTCTAGCGCATATTCGTTTTTAATGGTGATGATTTTTCGACAGGCTGCACACACTAATAACGCTTCGTAGGTGGGATTTCCTTCTAGACTATTTTTCTCTGTCGGTTTCATATATACCCGCACAATATGCGGAACGACATGGTGGCACTGGTGGTGACGACAAATACTTTCTGACGGTTTATGTATAATTACTATATACCGCACAGGAAACTGGACTAGATGGCCTATCTTGAGATTGTGTTTTTTTGCCTTTTTTCTGAACGATGCCACAAACCCTTGAAGTCGCGGTAGTTCGGTTACATGAGTGGATGAACGGAACTCTGATCACGATAACCGGTGGAATCACCGTAACTCATTAGACGTGGGCTGAAAAATTCCAGTTCGCTCTACACGCACCACTCTTGTACTTGATGTCACTGTTGTACAATAGCACATAACATGTAGCCACTGTGAGACAACTGTGTTGTTATTGTTGTTTTGCTGCTTACCATTGCTCTGTACTCTGAATGCTACTTTCTCAAAAGCTAGTGCATGTGTACTACGTGCTGTTATATTAATACGCTGTTACTTCTAGATAACCTTTCATGTGAATTTTTCATAAAAAGGCAGAGCGTCGTGAGAAGAGATGAACAGTACAGGCGTGATTATTTATGTTGTAATATATAGTATAAACATAGCAGTAAATTTTGAAAGCAAAAAAAAACCAAGAAAGACTGTCTCTAAAGTTAAACGATTATTTCTTTTACAGGATTTCCCTGCCCACTGGTTCCCGTTCTGGTTGTCTTGTACAGTGCCTGCCATGTCTCATTTGATGTCGCAGAGTGGGAAGCAACTGGAAAGCGAAAGGAAACCTAGTAAAGGCCGTGTTAGTTGTTCAGGAACCACAGCGTGCTCCTATGAACGCAGGGACGATGGAAGTTTACGTCTTCTTAACTGTTGCTCGTGGAATATTTCGGTTCTGTTCAGTTATAACTAGATAGCGGTGGAAATATTTACGCACATAACGTTTCGGCAACTTGATATTTCTGGGTTATGTAGTAGGAAAAAAACAAAGAGAAAGAAGGAGACAATTTGGTTCAACGTGTGCACACACGGCCAGAAAGGTGTCGTTGTGAGCGTTTTATTGTAAGCTGTTTCCGGCCAACTTTTGATTGCTATTATAACTTATTCATGTTTCTTTCTTTCCTATTTTTGTGGATATAATATTCTGCAAAGCATTCATTTGTAGCTGCTCCTTTACTTTTTTATAAATAAAAGTTAGATATTTACAACGTTGCATATCTAGACTATGCGTGTGCTCCTTCGATCCGATGTACACTATTCAATTATGGTAGATCACTTGTAAATCTTTCTTTCTCCCTTCCTCACACACACACACGCACACACACAGACACACACACACACACAAACACACACGCACACAAACACACACGCACGCACGCACACACAAACGCACGCACACACACGCACACACACAAACACACATGCACGCACGCACACACACACACACACTCAAACACACACGCACGCACACACACACACGCACGCACACACACACACGCAGGCACGCACGCACACACGCACACGGACACACACACACACAGACAAACACACACACACGCACACACACGCAAACACACGCACGCACGCATGCACACACACACACGCACACACGCACACGTACACACACACACACACACACACACACACGCGCGCGCGCACACACGCACGCACGCACGCACACACACACACACACGCACACACACAAACACACACACACGCATGCACGCACGCACACACACACACTCATCTTCGAAATGAAAAGAGCGATTCCTACGTGAGCCCAGCAGCAATGCACACAATATACCCCAAACTGTTCCCAATACCAGATTGCCCCTTTGCGGTATTATGGGGACTTCGAGCATGTCCTGTGGGCTGTGACTTTGCTGGTCCCCTTTCCACCAAAAGGAAATGAACAAGTTAATTACGGACCACGACTTGATCTCTCAAACTCTGGCCGTCCAGAGGGCCCACGCGACAGCGGTCAGTTTTAACGTGACCGTCCCCAAGTGGGCCTTGCCAGGTGACGTTAACTCGCGTCTAATGTGACCTAATAAAGTTAGTTCACGCACTCACTCGCCAATAATTGTCCCGTAATTCGAGTGCATTGGCATACATACGGACGAAGTCGCACATATATACGCTGTCTAACAGAGTTCGTCTTTGAGAAATCACAACGGATGCAACGTGCTCTGTTGCATGATGATAATGATGATGTTGATGAAGATGATGATGATGATGATGGTGGTGAACCTTTTATTTATGCCACCAAGGATCATTGCGTGATACGATGTGTATCAAAGAAGGTATTAAGTGAAAATGATGGGAATTGAAGTAAAATACTTCACCATCTAGTAGACTGAGAGCATGCTAGATGCAGTAATGATCTAGCATCGTAGTTGCAGAGAAAACCATGTAGAGCACAGCCATGCATAGCATAGCCATCTACAGTATAGTATAGCAGCCGGTTGGGTAAGGGAGCTGAGAGTGAGGACGAGTGACAGAAAAAGTAAAAGGGGAGAGGGTAAATGGCAGCGTAGCCTTGTGTAGTATAGTGAAACGAGTGGTAAAAAATAGATTTTGGGTGGGGAATAGTGATCTCAGAGGGAGAAGAAGGAAGAAAATTGAAGATGGGATGGGGTTGTATAACCCACTGCCAGCAAAGTTCAGGGAAAAGATAGTGAGGGTTAATAGAAACGATGTCAGCGGGAATGAAGGATAAAGGACAGCATAGCCATGCACAGTATTGTACAGCAAGGAGGCGGTAAAAAGAAAGTAAGAGTGAGGAGGAGAGATGTGAGGCTGAAGACGAGGAAAAAAAGGAGGGTAGAATAGAGGATTCACGGGCATTGCATAGTGTAGTCAAAAGGTGGTCTAAAGGGAAGTGAGCGCGTGGGCAAAGATAGTGTAACTGCGTACACTATCTTGGCGCACACATTTTCTGCCATGAACACCCGCAGGCTGTATGTTCGGAACGCCAGCACGGTGATCCGCGAACACCAACGTCGCCAAAGGGCAGGTGAAATATTACTCTGCTCGTTATAAAGCTTTCACATTAGACGTAACTTCACAACTGTGTTTTGATATTTCGTTTAAATGCGAAGCATTTCTTAGTCATCTTTGGCGACTGTGAGCGTATCTATCTATCTATCTATCTATCTATCTATCTATCTATCTATCTATCTATCTATCTATCTAATCTATCTATCTATCTATCTATCTATCTATCTATCTATCTATCTATCTATCTATCTATCTATCTATCTATCTATCTATCTATCTATCTATCTATCTATCTATCTATCTATCTATCTATCTATCTATCTATCTATCTATCTATCTATCTATCTATCTATCTATCTATCTATCTATCTATCTATCTATCTATCTATCTATCTATCTATCTATCTAGCCGCCTACGTTTGGGTGCTCTCGCGGTCACCTCCTTAACTTAGTGTGAACCAAAATTATCATAGGAGGGTAAAATGGTTTCACGAATTAGACACGCTGGTCAAGACATGAATAATGTCACAATTCCGTCGCGTACATCGTCAAACACTTTCCGCCAGATAGTGGTACATACCGACAGGTGGGTATGTGCCGCAGGTATGCGGATATGTGCCAAGAGTGATTGGCACTTAGTATCTACCCAGGAACGATGAGAAATAATTTGAACGCGCGAGCATTAAGAAATACAATACATAAGTAGCATCGACTCGACGATTGCAAAGAATAAATGTCAGCGTCCCAGCTGGAATCAAACCCGAGCATTCTGCGTGACAATGAAGCATTTTAACGAAGAGCTACGCAAGGTCTCAGAACTGCTTTTCAAATAGACGCTAATCTTTGTTAAACGTCAATAGTGGTTGCAGTGCTGCCTACGCAATTTCATAAACACTACATATGTACTCATTCGACGCAACTGTCACGCCGGGTTAACTTCAAATGTGGTTACTTGCCTTACACTGAAGTTGATTTATGTAGCAGTGTCCAGGGCCAGCATCCTCGCGAGCATCAGCGCTTCAAGCTTCTGGTGTTGCTAATACGCATGTTTCAGTTGGCATTGTTGTGCAAGTGCATACAATTCTTTATATAAACATCTGCAACTCTTCAACATATGTCGGTGCATACAGCATCTGTGCATACATTTAGCGTCATTTCAGGACGTGTCACTTAATAAAAAAATGGCAACATTGTCACCTTCCCTCCACATGATTCGCATAACGTCGATTCCCAGGTAAGTGGGATCTGCCGAATTTTTTTCTCCACCAGTTTCTTTTTAGGTTACGCTGTAAACAATGCCATGATCATTTCTCGCCGAACTCGTCTCGGATGCCCTTCTTACTTTGGCCACAAACAGTAATAAAGTGGCATGCCAATTAAGTGGCCGGGACCACGTGACACTATTCAAGTAACCTGTATGGGTAGCCGCAACGTCTGCTTTAATAAAAGTAAACACCGCTGCACTTCTGTCACTGAGCTACCAAGGAAGGTACTGCGAACATGTTTTTGAAGTAATATAGAGTGATGTGTGAAGTAAAGTATGGAGATGGGCAAGCGTTCTCGTACACTTATTTTCTGGTTTTTGTCCGTTGGCGTTCTATATTTTTTCTTGTTTCAAAACGTGCACTGTCGTTTTTGAGTTGCGCTACTCTAAATGTGGATGAGTTTTCGGTTCCCAATCAATAACATTCTCAACAAGACCGGAAAACGCTAGCTCTTTTACAAACCTACTCCGGCTTACTAAAGGTCATACGCATGCACAGCTGTGCCTGTCTATACTTGCAGCCTGAAAGAGATCAATCCTGAAGTGTTTCCTCGATCTGACGTGCAAACTTCATCGTGTAAATGTCCTGCGCGCCACCATTTGACCTTAGAACTCGAGCTGTTCACCTGCATGAAACTTGAGAAACGCTTGCTAAAAGGTGACAATGTTTACTCCTGTTTTCGCGTGAGACAGGATGAGAGAATACAACAGATTTAATGTAATTTTTGCCATACTACTGACATCGTGATTATCCGGCTTCTAGCTATCTCGGAACTGTTATATCACTGAAAAATCATAAACCATTCTGTTACACCCCCTTATGTTGCATTTTCAACTGTAATTTATTATAAAGCAACATTTCTAAGGACCCTTTTTCATTGTATTCAGATGAAGCACATACCTTGTGTAATATGTATATATTTATTTACATACCTAATTTTATTTGAAACATGTGGCCAATACCAACATGGTTTAGCAAAGAGGCAACACACATGTAACCAACCTCTGAAAGACTAGTGGCAGCTTTACGTAGAATAAACTGATGCATGCGTGCGACATGCTGTGGTAGCTCAGCGACAAAAGCACTGGGCCACTAGGCTTTGACATTTTTTGCTGCAAGAATTTACAAATACAAGAATCAAATCGAAACTGGTGAGGTCTTCGAGCGTACTCACGAACCGAATACAAGCATCAATGTCATGGGGAGCAAACAAGAACTACTAAGTACACTGCTCCGCCCAAGTAAGCACAGCGTACTCGTCTGCAATGAGCAATGTGACCGAAAAGGTCAAGCGTAAAGCTGAACTTTGCATTGAATGTTGACGTTTAAATTTCAGTTTCAGATTATTTTACGTACTAGTATTGAAGGGTACATATAAAAAAGGAGAATACAGATAGACGTTTCTTAGTGCGGACACTGCAATGAAGCCTCTTTCATCTGATCACAACTGCTAGCTTGTCTTTCTGTTTGCCTTGAAAGATGTTGTGTGTCTCTCGATGGGTCATGCATGGCTCACACCCCTGGTTTCAAATTACGACAACTCCATAGGTGTACGTGTTGATGATGGCTGTCGCTATAAAGTTCTATAGACAGGTTTTTCGATGACATACGGCACGGCGGAAATTTTATTAGGGCGAAACTGCGCTGTAATGAAAATATATTGAACATAAATGTACTTGTCAAGTGCCTGGGCCTGTAGTGGTAAAGAAGTCGAAGAATTTTTTTGCCCTTTGTATCAGACAACAATGACGTTCGAGACGACGCTGGCATTTAAGCTTAGGCTTAAGCACTTTTTTTTTTATGCCTTTACTTCTACGCACATTGAAAGGCTATGACAATGTGCTCTTGATTGTCGCAGAAGCTTCGTTTTAACACATTAAAAGACAACGTTTCCAGCATTTTGTTCAAGAAGCACTTCTATCCAGAGAGAAATCTGACTAAGCATTTGTGTCTTGCAGAATAGAGAGAGCGTGCGCGTAAACGAACGAGTATGCATTCTTGTCGATGGCCGTGACGTTCTTCTTCAAAGCAGCAACATTTTTTTCTTCAATACCAACGTAGACCGTTAGAGTGTTTTCGTGGAGAAATGGTGAACTAAAAATTCCATACCACTTCCCTTGACGTCAATGACAGTAAGGAATGATCACGACTGGCCGCATGATGGAAAAAAGAAAGCAGAAACTGGATACAGACGTCCAACGCAGTGATCCCGAAAGGTACGATGAGTCAGCAAAACACGCTTTAAAACGCCTAATATTTTAGTGTGCAGTAAGGCCTTTTTTGGGTATAATCACCCTTTCCAAGTGTAACTGGGCCACGGTGAAGTTGCTTCACTGGGCCGTTGGATTAATTGGCTTCAGCTACGCCGTTTGGAGTTTTGCCTCCGACGAAAAAAGTGAGTTGATAATTGATTGACTGACACGTGGCCCATGTCCTAAGTAAGGTTACGTTGTTTTAAGTAACATGTGACTCGTTGATCTAGAATAGGAGTTGTTCAGACAATTGGAGTGACATTCCGATGACAAACACTGATGAAGCTCTTGTAGGCATTTGTTGATTACCCTCATAAACTTTCACTAGTACATGGTAGCCAACCTGCATAAGGATTGCCTAAACTTTCTGTCTTTTCATCTATTTTATACCTGCCCTTCTTGTAACCCAACAACACCTACAAACTATACGGATGCGGCATCAATTTGCTGCGCCAGAATTACAATGAACTTCGTTTTCTTGTGCAACGACAGCAGGATTAACAATATACTAAGCTGCCAACGCAAACGCAACACATTATGTGTAGGTTCCATCAATGATGTACACATTAATTTTGTAGGTTACATGAATGAACGCTGCTGGGTGGAGCGACACTAGCCAAATTCGCTTTACGTGTGACTTTCGAGACATCCGTGGGCCCCTTTGATTTCTATAAATTCTTACACCCAGAAACCATGCTTCAGGTTCTAATGGCTACGAACACTTTTAGCGAATGGTGTTGTATTCAAGTGACCTTTTAGCGAAAAAGAAAGATCATCGTGATGTCTGCTAGTGGATGGTGTGGCGTCGAGGAAAAAAAGCCTTCACATGAGCCTGTTTAGTAAAGGTGAAGGGAAATAACGCATTGTTTTCAGACTGGGTGTTGTAAAGTCACTATAGAGAACGACGACGTAATAAGCTGTTAACAGCGACTGCAATCTTTAGCAGTGCACGAACATTAGGGCGGAGTTCATACAACACAACTGTGCGACTTGTCAGAGCGACGCAGCACACGTGAGTAGAACAATAAAAAAACATTGGCAAACAGCTTAGTCATTTGAATGAGAAAATGTCAGAACCCAGCTGCATTGACTAATTATCCTAATGTATAGGTAGATGCGTTGTGGACATCATTATATAACTTTCATATTTTTATACTGACACGTCCCCTTTTTATATTGAAACGTCCGCTCATTTTGGAAAATACCTATGCTGGCGTGAGAAGAAGGGAGAGGAACGCAAGCTGTAGTCTCGTTGTGCATGCAATAGAATTGACAAGTACATAAATTTCTGCAGAAACGATGCTAAAATGGAGTTGTCTTGCGCAAAGAAGAGCGTAGTGCCAATGACGTTTACAGCTTACAGAAGGTTGACAAAATGTGTTAAACAGGATTGCATTGCCGCGCCCTGAAAAGAGACATTGTGAAGGCGATATCCTGTCGATCTCGCTGTATGCCGTCTCAGTACTGTGCTTTTGACTTTTTATTCAAAGATTGCTGCAACCTGATGAGCACGAATGCGCGCTTTTTTAATTATATTTAAAGATAATAGTCTTTCTTGAGGACCTTCGGCTGAAAAATTTTGGTCTCTCTGCCCATTTGTCTGTTTATCCACCCTTAACGATATTCTAAAGTCTAAGCGGCAACTAAACACAATCCAAACCACCAACACTATCCGCAGCGCCCATCAATATTGCGCAAGGTTCAGCGTTCATACTTGTGCGATTGTCAATTAAAACGCAATTGTTGCGCATATCTGAGGCACTACAACAACACGTCAATAGTCTGTATGTGTGCCTTTTAACTAGAACAAGCATAAAAAAGTAATTCTAAGGACCAGTAGGCGCTTATCACGCTGCGCTGATAATGCAACGTTCGCACGAAAAAGCGAATGTTTCCAACGCTTTGCTAAGACGGCACGGTGGTGGCACCTACCCGTCGCCTTGCATCCTACACCTTATTACCTCCGAGACAGGCGCGCACGCCACACGCACTTCGTTTTCCAAGGTAACTGCCAGATAGCGCTCATGTCTCACGTGTGACGTGACTTGATGCACTCACTCGCCTCCGATGCACGCTCGAGGCACTCTGACACAGCGCTTCCAGAATACGATTCACCGGTTTCCTTGCGCATAACATCAAATAAACGTTTTGGTCACTCTCTCCAGACGCAAGACTATCGTCTTTCGACAACATTTGCATTATAACATGTAGATACGGGGTCGATTTTTTGTAAATTAATTCACATTCAAAACGAACGATTAAAAAAAGTGACTTTGTTTCACCATACTGTGAGTCAAACACCTACACAGTACTGTATATAAATACTGTTTCGCCCGCCAGACTACCTCCTTCCAAAACAAATGCGAGGTGCTTTCAGGCCAAGTCCATATGGTCTTCAGCGAAGGCAGGTACGTATATTTTGCAAAGTTTAGCAAAAACAATAGGTCCTCGTACATAGAAACACACAAAGGAACATATATATGTTTACGTTTAGAAATGCCTCCAGTTTACAGTTGTGCTAAACATAAGTTGCAACACGCTGTCTGGGCTCAAAACGGCGCCGACAGTGCAAATCGACATCTACGTATGAAAAAAAAGAAAAACAAGGTAGTTGAAGTAAACTCTCGCAATCAGTGGTACTTTTTGAGCCGATTTAACAATTTTCCGTGTCACTGTTCACCCTTGGGGTCACTTTAATCTCAACCAGAATGCCACAATTCATATTGAGTGTGACTGCACGAACGCACGCACGCACACACACACACACACGCACGCACACATACATGCATACACACACACATACACAAACATACATACACACATACATACATACACACACATAAACGCATGCACACACGCACACACACACACACACACACACACAATTTTTCGCTTCTAGGCAGATACCTTAACAGCACCGCCAGGAAACCCAAGCTGCCTATGGCCTCTGAACCCTATCTCTACTTGCATCTAGCTGGCATTTAGCTTTTTCTCTTCCCTCGTACCTTCGCATTGGTGGATGCGACTGTTCCTCTAATAAAGTAAACTTGAAGTATGCAGTAGCCAAAGTTGTCTAAAAGAATCTATCCCAAAGTTTTTACTGGAGATAGTAATGTTTATTCCTTTTGTTTGCACAAATAAGCTACCGATGGAATTCAATGAATAGATGTTTGCTGTCACTTCGTCGCGATTCTACGAAATACTTCTAAGTACGAGATAACTTGTACTATTTTGCTCCTGGGCGGAAAACAATGCGGCAATGCACTAAGTGTCAATGTTGCATCGACTAGTTCATCACTGAATATGCGCACACTTCGAGAATTGTTGAGACGAACTGCTGTTGGGGCTTGTTGGTTTCGTCATTGCATTCCGTTCCTCGCTTTCCGTACCTTCTTCACGCAGCGCTGTTGTGCTTGCTCTACAACTCCTATCAATATATTTGTCTTTGTCTGAAATAAATGAAATGAAATACGAAACGTTGAGATCTAGTGTATATTCCGCTGTTCCTACTTTGCTTTTTGTAGTCAGATATCTAACGTATAGTCACATGATTATATATAGATGAAGCTTACGGTAAAATCTCGCGCAACGAGGAGTTCGTTGTCGATAATCATCGAACTTCTCGTTATGCTACCGCAGTGCGTGACTGCCCGTTTCATAAAGCAAGAACAGGCTTCACTCGCCTTGTCCCGCAATAGGACCCTTTTTAGAATTCCAAAGTGCGCTTGTATTCACTGTATATTTGCCCAAGTAATGCAGGCACCTGTCGTACTTCAAGCGGACACGAACCCTCGTCGAACGTGCTTGGGCTTGGCTATCATTGCTGTTTACATCATGAGAGCTGACTATATACATTTTCCACGTCACTACGTAAGCAGACTGCGCCTGAACAGGCTATTTGCAGTAAGTAACTAGCAGCCACAAGTTGTTCAAGCTGCATAGCAGGAAAGATAAATTTATAACTTTGAAAAGGGTCCCCGGTTGTCACTGCGTGAGCGAGACAGAAAAGTAGGAAACGAAGAAACACCGATCAGTTCTGATTGTTTTTAGGTTTCTGGTAGTTCCTGTCATTCATTTTGCGATGCAAAAGCTCGCACCGACACAATGAATCGAGATCTGTCTTTGATGGTGCACGCAGGACGCGACAAGCTTTGGGTGGGAAGTGGAGCGTTCTTTCGTCCTGGCATCCTGGAAGTGGCTCTTGCTGCACCCTGTATTAGCTAGGGCCACTGCGTACGCTGCGCTGTCGGTGAGCTTCTCACATACTCAGGAAATTACACAATGTGTGGGTTCGAAAAAAGTTGTTAACGATTTAGTACCATGAGCCTCACAATGGCAGTTAAGGGCAACGTTTTAAAGAAGCATGCTATTGCTGACCCACTTAAATGGTTGGCATTTGAAACTTGTTAGAAACACGTGAAGTACATTGCTCTGTCAAAACTTTTCTTCATTGTTTTAAACCTGTTCATTTTTTAAAATATTGTTTCTCGAATGAGCAAATAAAGTATCTGGTATGTTCGGTATAGTGGCTTCAAAACCTTGTTACAAAACTAAGCTGATTTATTCAAGCCGCCCAGAGGAGATGTTTAGCATTATCTACTGAATGTCGGGGACTGCGGCAAAGTTTCAGCTTTGATGGCTAGCACATTCTTTCGTTGGTAATAACGTATTCGGCTGTCCTGCAGAGCTTTCGCTAAGCAGGCTGTTTATTCACGAGGCTTTCACTCGATAAAGCTCGTGACTATCTGGACATGTCACCGGCATGCCGATGATATTACTGTCTACGCTTCAACCTAAATAAGTTCCAACCACTCTATCGGTCCACAGCTTCAGCCCTTAATTTCCTTTCCCCAGAGCATAATAAACAGGAGGCTCATCTTGTTGACGTGCCTACTGTACTGTGGTTTTCTTCCTCATCTGCTTATATTCTAGATTTCGTGTTTTGCTCTTCGTTGTACGTGGCC